ATAGACCCCATCTTTTGCTCTGCCTGTTATGTGCTGCTGTGTTTTATGTGTACGGTATAAATTCAAACCATGTGTAAGATGGATTTTTATTGCTTACTTATTACTTACCTACTTATCCATCGTTATACTCATATTTTCATTCATTCTACCAGATGCTCTTGGAATTGGTGTGACCGGCATCAGTCTTGGCATCAGCAGCTCGTCTTTCTTGGACTCGTTTTCCCATCACCCTTTGGGGCACTTGCCCATCAAAGATGAAGAGGAGCCAGACCCACAAGCCCCTGTCCCAGGTCAGTAGATTAAAGTGGCTGTTCAAACTCTGCCAGACTTGCTCTCAGAACTAAACTATAAATGAAAAGGATTTTTTTTATTTTTTTTTATCCCGTAGCTCCACTGGTGCCTGTGTCGCTTCCCCCTCGCTCTTACTCTCGGGGAGGAATCTCATCCAGAGCGAAAAGACCTGGTTTGTAGTCTGACTTCAATCTCCCGACTCATCAGCCAGTCACCTTTATAAAGCACAACTAAGTACTACACTCTGCAGCATTTGCGCCCTCTGAACTCTTTTTGTAGCAGATTTTTTTCATATCATGCTGCTTTGAAGTTTTTTGTCAGGGGGGGGGGATGTTTTTGTATTTCAGAAATCAGCTAATCTGGCTGCCAAACACAAATAACTGTCATAAAACAGTGTAACAACTCCATCATCATGTACAGTATGCGCTTATGGGTGGACGTTGGTACAAGTAAGTGAATGTGTATATATATATATCTATTTATGTATGAATGCACTGTACATTATCCTCTGTGGTGTGTTGTACTGATAAATGTCTATGCAGGGAATAACACATCCACCCAGGCAGGGATACTACGGATTAAAAAGCACTTTTGCTCTCTGACATTGAAGCAGAGGGTTTGGTACTGTATCTTTTACAGGGTATCACACATCCAAACACCCTGTGTAAATAAAATTAAAAAAAAACTGGACCAGAGCCTTTACTGCATGGAATTGTAAACAGGAACAAGAAAAGATGCCACCTTGGAAGTTTTGTTTGCGTATTTCTCCATTTAAAGTCAATTCAAATCATATTCAAAGGAAGGAGTGTGTTGACAGAAAGACTCTGCAACCCCAACTGCAACTCTTATATGTATGAGGGAAGTTAACTGTAAACAATGGGTTCAGGCATCCTGTCAGTACAGAATAATGCATTTTGGGGATTTTTTTTCCCGTCTTTACCTAAGCAAAGATTAATGGGGTTGCTGTGTCAGGCAACATAAGGGTAGGTTTCCCTTCTTTAGTGGAGTTATTTATCAGACAGCCAGGTGACAAACGCTTGAAAAATCAAAGCTTTTCTTCAATGCATTCTTTTATAATAAACAATAAAAATCAATACACAAACAGTACATAAATATGAATTTATTTGTGTTTAACAAGACATCAACATGAATCACAGGAAATAAAAGATGCATTTACATTTCAAGGTTTTAGTGCCACATAAAAAGCTACTCAGACCCGATAAAGGCCTATTCTCTGAGAGGGTGAGCATGACTGAGCAGTAAGACAGCCTCAACATCTCAAAAGGCGTTCTTTGAAAAGATAAGGATGTCGTTTGGTCAACAATAACCAGATGCTGTTTCTTTATTTTTTTCACTTTTTAGCTCTTTTCCCTTTTTGAGATTTCTCACCTTTTTTAGAGTATTTAGCTTCGAGATCAGACAGAAAACTGTTAAAATTCTTCTCTCTCGACTGCTGTCTTTGCTGGAAAAAAGAAGATGAAAAGAGTTGAGAGCGAAACAATCAAGGCAGTGTTAATGCTTTATGTGTGCGCAACATTGTGCTTGATTTTATTACCTTAAGCATCATCACAAGACTGTCATCTTCATCCCCGAGCCCCATCTCTTTTTGCATTTCTTCTGCTTCTTGTCGCTCTCTATCAGCCTGGAAAGTCAATTGCTATCATGTTACAGAATTCTTGAGGGTTAAAAAACAACACGGATACAACCGACACAACACATTTCTCACCCTCTTTCTACGAGCCTTCTTCTTCTTCTCCTTCTCCTGAGTAAACGCTGGGAACGCTGTGACTTCTTCATTCTGGATGGCAGCCTGGATGATGCCGCAGAGCCGGGGCTCGTCTTCCTGTGAGCAGCACAGAGCCGAGGCTGTGATGGCGTCCATGTCTCCCTGGTGCTGCACATATAGCTGGATTAAATCCTGCCGCTCCTCATCAGAGCCCTTATATTTCTTTTCAAACTCGAGGATGTCCTGCACCGTGATCTAGGAGAGGGATGGAATAAAAGGGCAGGTTTTCAAGTCCCGAGTAAAAATGTAGAATAAAAAGTATGCTCAGTTCATTCATGTTGCAGGCTTTTATTTGTTGTTGTTAAATACGATAACTGGAATAGAAATGACTCGCTCCACTTCTCCCATCATTGCATGCAAATCAAGGCAAGTTGTGTGACTCATTACTGTTCATGAGTCACACGAATAACGAAAGAGAAACACCTGATGTGCTCCTATACCTTAGGGAAGAGCAGTCTCCAGTAGTCTTCCCAGCATCGGTCTTGACTCAGAGCGTCGGACTCTTCATCCACCAGCCCCTGCTCGTCATACACGGCTCTTTGCTCCGCATCGCTCAGCACTGCGTATAGCTTTCCCAACACCTGAAAGAGAAAGAGAACAATTTTAGATTACATTTCTACACACGTGAAGCTCTAAAAACATAAAACAGTTAATGCGATAATGCTTTTGAACAATTTTAAAATGGGATATGATAATGCAGATCATTGCACTACGGTCATTTTATTTATCTAATTCTTACCTTTACAGCTACGGTCACTTTATTTATCTCATTTTTACCTTACAGTTATATTGTATATATTAGTTCTGTTGTTCCATTATTCACCATGCACCTTAATAACTTATCATTTAGTATTTGCCTACTTGCACATCGCTCTGTATGTATATATTTATTTCTTTTACTGCATATAATTCTGTTTACATCTGGTCACTACTGCACATAGTTATGGTTACATCTGTTTACATCTGTTAGTCCGATCACTGTCCACTTATATCTACTCTTTTATATTTTGTATTTTTAAGTTAAGTTTAAGCTTTAACTTGTATTTAAATTGCACTTTCTATTTAGGTTAAAATGTTTTGTTTACCTGCACTGTTGTTAATTTACTGCTCTGTGTGCCTTTGAATTGCCCCCCAGGGACAAATAAAGTTTTTTAATTGAATTGATGATCAATAACAAAAAAAGACATTAAAATGTATCAAAGCATTTCAAAACTTTGAGATCTTCAGTCTCAAAAGTTTTTATTTTCAGTGTTAGCACCTTATGGGCAACTTTGCATTGAAAGAGCAGGTAGTTCTAAAATGATTATGATAATAACATTCTGCATAGGCCAGAAAACAGTAGTTTCTATTTGATATTTGATCTGCAGGCATTATTTTCATTGAGTTCTAAAAATAAATGTCAAATTTATGACGTTTTAAACAAGTGGCACGATTTTAATACGTGTCATTTCACTGCTCATATATATTTAATTTCAGGTTAAGGACTGTTGTTGGATACAACTTTAATATCAGAGCTGATTTAAAGCAGGAAGACGTCACAGTACTGCTACACAACAAGTCTATTCTTCACCTACACGTGTTTAGTAAAGCTCTTACTATCTACTAAATCAGTAAAGAAAGACTTTGCGTGACAAGGTGCTCTGAAGTGCTCTCGGGGTTTAAAGGTGAAAGCACAGGGAAAGTAAAGGTTTCCATATGCAGCTACTGAAGTTAGCTGTGTTAGCTTGCTACTAAAGCTAGCTTGTGTGTTTCACAGCTAACCTGAAACTTCTCTGTTGCCAGCGGGTCCTCCGGAGCTCGGTCCGGGTGGACTCTGAGCGACACTTTGTAGTAGCTCCTCCGGATGTCGGCCTCAGCTGCCTCTTTGTTGACGCCCAGCACCTCGTACAGGTTTTGGGTCTTGAAGAGCTCCTGGCATCGCTCGAGCAAACCCATCCTCCTGGCCTTTCTGGCTTGACGTTAAAACGACGTAAAGGACTGTAAAATGTGTGTTATCTCAAAGGTGCAGACCGCGTTTATAGCTAAGGTTTAACTTTAAGGTGATTTAAGTAAGCAGAAGTTGCATCGTCGTATGTTTTCTGCTTTGTCTTTGCTGGTATTATCAATTTGGCGCGCTGGTCTGTCACAAACACACTTACGTACAGCGACGTGCTGACGTAAGAGGCTTAAACGCCCGCCCATTGGTCCCCTTGTCATTCTCGTCAGAGTGTAACCATATTTACAGTCATGATTGTAACGATACACTTTTTTTTTTAAATCTTTGAAAACACAATTTTACAACATAAAGATTTCTGTCATTGGGGAAAAACAATTTTTGAAACAGTTTTTTTAATAGTTTTCTCTTCTGTGTATTAGCCTAATGACTATTATTTTAGATACATCATTAGTTAGCTATATCTAGGCCTATTTTACCATGCTAAGTAACACTCATAACTTTTAAAACTTATCATGTTCTAAAATAAATTAAAAAAACAACTGATTAGATTTCATGAACCTAATCCTATCTGCCGTTTGAATTGAATCTGCAGGTATTGAATGTCTGAGGTAGGCTAATATTTAGGCCTAATCCATGATTTGCAGCCTTAGGGTTTTATTCTACAAAATAATAATAATTTGTTTATTGACAGGCAAAAGACACATTCCTTTTTTTTTTTTTTTCCAGAAAAACACTAATTTGATAATTCAGGCTGTTGCAACAGTCTTTAAGGCACCATATAGGTTTCCCTAAAACATTTTGATCTTTTCATGTGCAACATTTAACCTACCAAAATGAATATGTGAAATCTCCCTTTAGATCAATTTCAAATCATTATGGCATAAGTTGCACAAGGATAGCTGCGGAAGCTATTCGAAAGCAAATTCAGTTGCAGGAAAATCAAATTCTAATTTCCAATTTACCTAAATATATGACTCACTCACAAACCCACAGATACCCCAGTATTTATTGGTGAGTTTGAAGCAGCACAAGAATACATCAAAGACAATGAGGCAAGTCACTAAGCATTTTTCACTGCTTCATGCGAAAGCAGAACACAAAGATACACACTGACTTTGAGCTAAGCTTCTGTAGATTTCACCCATCTGTGTTTATAAGCCTGTACAATATGCAGCACTGGAGATATACACTGCAACCCCCCCCCCGTCTCAGATGTTATCCAATTATTGCCCCATCTGTTTCTGTTGCATATTTTGGCACAGTCTCTGTTGTTGTTTTTGTGTGGACTCTCTGTCATCAAAAACCTTGTCTGTCCTTTGTACTCATACTCAGAATAAGCACTTGGACAACTGGCACATCATTACCATGATCAACAATGCAAAACAAAATGACAAAAGCACAAGAGTTGTATTTTAAATGTTATGAACTTTTGCTGGTGTGCAAATCCATCTCATATGCTTTCCATCCACTAGTACAAGTGGAGTTTGTCTCTCACCATTGCTCCTCCAGAGGAATATTTCCTTGTTATGGTAACAGTCTCCCCACAACAGTCAAACGGCTTCATTCTCATGGTCAATCTTTACAGCATGTCCATGGCCGACGCTTTTCCCCTTTTAAGTGGGACAGTCTAAAAACCTCCTGTAGGGGGCGGCAGCTCAGCACTCCTTTCTGGTCTTCACTATCTTGCTGGCGTACTTGATAGGGATCCCCCAGCGTCTCATTAGATAGACATCAAACACGTAGGCCATCCCTGGCTCCAGGCCCCCGATCACAGCTGTAGTGACGGCCCTCCGAGGATTCAGCTCCTGGAAATACTTGCAGAGAACTCTCTCGGTGTCAGAGCGGGACTCTGGCCCCAGACAGGGTGCAGTCATAGCCCCAGTCTCTGCTTCACTGTTTCCCAGCTTTCTACGGTACACGCAGTACAGGCTTCTTTCCTCTGTGCCCATCCAGGCCAGAGTGACAGTGTTGCAGCCCCGTAACCTGTTGAAGGATTTCATCTGCAGGGTGGAGGGCAGAGACGGGACCCCTCGGCGGTGGTAGGCTGATGAGGTCTGCATTTTAACCGAAGCCGTCAGACCTCCAGGTAGAGCTGCGTCTGTTGTCGTTCCCTCTCTTTCCAAGTGGATGAGAATGAAGGACTTCCCTGCAGCCAAATGTGCTCCAACTCTCCTCTCACAGCCTTTTGGGTTAATACCTGACCTTTACTTGAAACTGTGACCTTGACCTTGTCGCCTTTGCTGCAGCTCTGCAGAGTGAGGAGCCCACTCTGCTGTAAACCCCTCGGTCGGAAACTGAAGAACTGCTCAGAGCGGGAGCCTCGGTCTTGAAAAGTCACCCACCTCAGCTCCCCGTCTCTCAGGGTGGTGATCGTTGGCCGAGCCTCCTCATGCGTTCGAGCGAACGTCCCCTTGTAGGCTGCGCTGGTCCTGTTCAGCCTGTCGATCACAAAGACGTCAAAGTGATACTGTTTTTCAGGGAGGAGGTCGGAGACGGTGCAGACACTCTCTGTCCCCTGACACACACACTGGAGATCAGCAAACTCATCAGCGAGGGAGGGCGGCGTGCTCTGGGATTCCGAGTCCCACTGCTGCCACCACCACTCCTTCAAAATGGGCCACGCTGTCACCCTCCTCCTCCTCTCCTTCTTCACCTCCTGCTGATCCTTCTCTTTCCTCACGCTCTGCTGTGCCGCACAAAGGCTTGGGTAGTTTTGCTGAGAGTTGGCGAGGACACAGTATTTGTAATTTTTCTGTGTGGGTGGGAGGCTGGTGATGGAGTCACTGGGCGCCCAGCTGAGGGTGACGCTGGTCATGCCGACACCCAACGTGTGAACTCGAGGGTCAGCAGGGAGCAGAGGGTAGGCGCCTGAAGGTCCCAGGCCTTCATGGAGGAACACTGTAGCTCTGCTGTTCTTCTGTTTGGAACGAAGCCGAAGGATGTAGACAGAAGTGTGTGGGTTGGAAGGACCCTTGTAGGTGTCCACCGTGGTGCCTGTGAAGCTGTGCAGTTTCTCTTCAGTCCCAGGACCTCGCCACCAAACCTCAGGCACACTCTTTTTAGTGCTCCCTGTGAAAAGCACAGAAAGTTGAGGTTATAAAAATAGCCTGAGTGTGTCAAAATTGTGCATTCTCTTTATTGACGTCTTTCGGATGATTGACCATCACTGCGAGCTGTTTGCACAGAGAAAGTGCCTTTTGTTTTTGTCGCCATTGATTTTCTGTTGTCCCCACAAGTTTGTTGGGCAAATAGGCCCCAGACACTCTCATGGACAAGAAAAAGTTGCAATACTTTCAATAAATACCATGTTATTTTTACATTTTGAATAATGGGCAGAATATACAAACAAGACAGAACATATGCTTTTTAAAGTTATATTTGAATCATAAACAGGGCCAGCTGGCTCTCTCATCCCGCTAGTCTTTATACTATACTAATTATATACTAGACTAATTGTCTTCTGGCTCCAGTTCCATATTTAGCATTCAGACATCAGAGTGGTATCTATTCTCATAGAGCTGGTCAAAGAGCAAAAAAATGACATTTGCCATATGTCAAAATATTCGTTTTGTACAGATTTTTTTAAATAATCAGTAACAGCAAGGGCTTAGTTTTTCAAGGGACAACTGTTACAATTTACCTTAACATTATTTAATAACTACTGTAATTGAACGGACAAAGACTTCAAGAAACTCGAACTTCATCAACATTTAAAAACAGCTCGTCATTGACCCCAGTAATGATTAAGCACAGTGTTACAGGAAGTCACAGAAACAATCAATGAATATAGATAAGTAAGTCATTGTAAATAAATACACTATGTCCTGGAATGTGTACGATGTACATGTGTAATATTAATTATATTTGCTGATGCCGTACATTAGGGTTCTTGGAATACAAGTCAATTTTAAAGGTAACCAGAGCCTTAATAAGTGTTAGTGATGAATAATAATGAATCGTAATTACAGCCTTATGTTATTATGTAAACATGTTATTTTTGCTCAATCAGCATTCCTTCGCACTAACAGGAAACAAGGTAATATATTCTTGAACAACATATTCATAAACTCCTACTTAAGTACTTATTCTTTTCTTATAATCTAACAATAAACTTGTTAGTGTTGTATTATTAACACCTTTATCATCTTTGTAACACATTATAATTATCCTATGAGGATTTATCATTTATTTATTAAAATACGTTACTTAATCAATCACTCAACACAAAGCACCTGAATGTCATTAAAAGAAATTTCAAGCACTTACTAAACAATTTCAACAGTGGCTTATGTGCGTTCTTATTCATTTCACATTGAGGTACACTCTTTTCACTTGAGTGATACCATTAGCAAACAAACACTAAAAAAATGGCCACCGCTCGTCTTCACGCTTCATCCCTCCTTGAGATGAAAAACGGCTCCACAAATGAGACCAAATGTAACAGAATCAAAGTGAATAATTCAGACTGGCGATGGGGACACATGAGCTCACAGTCTGAATGATTTATGTGTCATGTTATAACTTCATAATGTTATTTTACCAAGTAGAAAAGCTTGTTAAGTTAACCTGAAAGTGTACTCATGGAATACTTCAAGGCCTTTCTTCTCCTCCAGATAGCTGTGCTTACTTTGGTTTACTTTCAGTTTCAGCACTTTCTCCTGCTCTATTTTGTTATCCCAATTTGTGTTTGCAATTTGTTAGTTGTGCAGGCACAGGTATTGCAGATTTATTTTTTGCTCTATATTGAGTGTTAAAACCAAGAGTTGCAAGCCCTTTGCAGGTTAAATTTGATGACATTTTAAAATCCAAATCTGAATCCTTTTATTACATTTTTATCTATGTGACAATCAGATCTGATCAGAATTTCTGTTCCGGTCCTTGTCAGGGGACAGGGGGAGGCATTAAGGTAAACGAACAGCATTTTCTGAGCTCTCAAATTAAACTTGTGTTACAATGTTCTGATTGGAGGATGAAGGATAAGAAATAAAATCTGTTATTTACAAAAGCAATTGGAAAAAAAAAGAAGTTGGAACACTATGATATGACTGGCTGATGGTAATAAATGTATCAGTCTATAAATGTGCTGTATGACCTTAAAGGACAAACATGCAGACAATGGAAACACTTTATATCTGGTATTTTTAAAGAACTATTTCTTAGGTTTAATTTCATTATATAGCAGAAAGTAAACTCTTATTGAACACAAAGTTAAATAAGATTAAAGTCTTTTTCCCTCAACTTAATCCTTATCCATCCCTATTGATAATATCTAATTGATCGTCTTGGCTCAGCCAGATAAAGTAATTATCTTCATGGTTAAGTGTGCATTTGAAGGTTCATGTGTGGTTTCACTGCTCACTCACACTGAAGGCTCTTGAGGGGTTTGTCCTTCAGCGTGCGAGCTGCCAGGCTCCACTCGATGGGGAGGTCACATGGGCTGACGGTCACCGACATCCCCGGAGTTTTCTTCTTCAGCGTGAAGTAGAGCCTGTGAGGAGAAACACCATCAGATAACGTGAGAAGTTTTTTGATTAATCGCAGGGTTAGTCAAACAAGAAGATAACAGGGCTGCCTGAAAATATATCTTCTGATGCAAACTGTGCAACATCCTTTCATATGGTTCATGATTCTCTGATTATTTTCTGTCCCAAAGCTTGACAATGTCTAGGTTGCCGCTGTTTTACACATCTGTCTCTGCATTTACCTGCAGCACATTCATGCTGATTGGATAGCAGATCAGGAGAGGTGACCTGCATGGCATCGCAGGATAAGGCTGCATTGACCGATTCAGATTGATATCTTCCCGTTTGCTGTAACTATCTGGTTTCGTGCTTGGAATAGAAACTATTATGTCCCCTGTTGTGTTTTTGAAGCGCATGGTTGATCGCAGACTTGCAGATTCAGTGGCAGATAAAGGACATTAAGCATTCATGCCGTCATGATCTGGTCTTGTTTGAACTTATTATTCACTGTTGGTGAGTCAACTTTAAACTGTTAGGATCCGCACACAGACTTATATGGATGACGTGCGTGTCGTTTAAAACCTGATAAACTCCCTCTTCACAGCTAGTTACCTCTCACGAAAATGTACTAACTGCATTGTTATTTATTAATCAATGTTTGTTTACCCTTCTTACAAACATCATTATTCATGATTCTGTGCAGATGGCGGTTGTTTCCAAACAGATGTGCGACACTGTCATTCTCAAGGGCGCTTCGCAGCTTAGTTAACAGAGTGATTCATTTCTGATCAGGTGTTTTCTCTGCCTTTATTTGCCGTGCGGTTCTGCATGACCGCGCCGGTGGACAGACTGCAGCACACAGGGACATGCATCTCACAACATTTTTCAGCTCCTACTTTCAGAAAGCGAGCTCTGGCACTGATGTGTCAGGTTCTGGCCAAATGGGCTCCACTTCCTCTTGATTGCTCTACAGTGGTGCTGGAAGCGGACCCTGTCCACAAAGGTGGATGGTGCATGGCTGGTGGCTTGTTATTGAAAGGGAAGTAACAAGGGCAAATCAAGTTGTTTCAAGAGTATTCTGCAGGGATGATCAGCTTGGTTTCACACTGCCATTAGAAACATGCGCAATCATCTTCTTGTTGACACTGATTTTTCAACTGTGAAATCAGGATTTACTTGCAAAGATACCGGTATTACAAAGATGAGCATGTATTCTTTAAGCGACCTTTTTTGAAGAATGTCTATTGAAATAAATTCAGTGGATTCAGTGATTGTTAAGTCCAGAATTATTAGAGCGGATTATGAATTGGTAACTCAAAAATGATCAACAGATTGATCCTCATGAAAATGATCATTTCATCCGGCCCTAATGGCAATCGACAACTTGCTCCCTCATCCCATGTGTGTCCTTACCTGCGGGTCCGTCCCTTGGGCAGAGTAATCGCTGTGATCTTTCCTTCTGGTAACCATGTGGTTGGACGAAGCGGTACCTCGTTCTCGGGGGCCAGGGCCGAGTGCGTCTGGGGCCAAAACAGCACCAGAGCTGCACTGAGACACCAGGACAGTGATGTGAGCGCCATCTCTGGTCCTTTCTCCCTGTGTCTGTTTCTGTTTCGACTTTCCCTCGGTCACCACGTCTTGGATCTCTCTCAAACTCTGATGGTGGAAAAGGTCAGGAAGATCAATCAGAAGTTCAGAACCCATGAAAACAAAGACGGACTCAAACACACTTAGTTACATTTTTCCTGTAGTCTACCATTCAGACAGACGCTAAAGAGCTGTAGAGGCTGATGATTCATTGATATGAAGAATCATCCGATCTTATTCAGACAGAATTATTCATGCAGGAGGGGAAGAAATTGCCATGCTATATTACTCTGCAGTGTGTGTGTGTGTGTGTGTGTGCGTGTGCATGTGTGTGTGTGTGTAGCACACTCGCTGTAAGAAATCACCCATCGCACTACTTTTCAAAGTGTGAAGCGGGCTGCTAATATCACTCTGAAGTCGTCGCCTTTACGTCTACTTTTCTATTTTTAGTCTGAGGAGTTCAAATAAGTCTATTACCACTATATCTTTCATCATGGGTTTTATGGCGGCCATTTTATCAGGAAAAGAGTGATGCCACGCTGTTGCGGAGGAAGTGCACAAACAACACCTGGAGATGCTTGGATGCAGTCAAAACCAATCAGCATGCATTACTTGCGAGAGGAACTTGTATCAGATTCTCCTCTTCAGTCTGTTATTTGACTTCCCTCTTTAGCCTTTTCTTCTTCCTGTTTGCGTTTAAGGTGTGTATTATGTGTATGATTATGTGTGGTAGTGGTAGTAGACAGGATGATTACAGGTTTCACTGTTCTTCCTTCTCCCCAGAGAAAGCACATTTGTTCAAAGTCACTCAGTCTTCACACATGCACACACACACACTCCCCGCCTTCCTCTAACAAGGTGTATTATGTCAGCACTGTGCCCTATAGATCAGATGACAATCACAGTGGAACCATGAAAGCGGCTACAGACGGCACATCTGAGTCTTTCGGGGCCCCGGGACGCTCCCAGATCCGAATTCACAAACCCCGTCGCACAGCTACAAAGTCGCCTGCTCATTATCCTTGCAAAGAACGGGGGGAGTGAACAACCCATAAAGCTTTAACGGAGAGACATGCAGCAGGGGGAGAGAGGCAGATTGAAATAGGAGGGGAGGAAGGGGGAGGAAGAGGAAGGGAGGGGAAGTGGAGAGGAGGAGGAAGAAGAAGAAGAAGAAGAAGAAGAAGAAGAAGAAGAGGATGTTGGATTCTGGAGTAATTAGAGGCAAGAGATGATGGAGGGAGAGAAAGAGAGAGGAAAAAGAGGAAAAAGTGCAAGTGGAAAATCACAGAGGATGGAAAAATTTGTAGAGGCACAAGGTTGAAATAAATTTGTTTCGGTGTTATAGCCTGACACATGACGCTGATTGGTATTTACTTTAGCCCCCATGCCGAATGGGTTCTAATGTGACACATATTACCAGACAGCAGCACACAACCTCACAGCCCTTTTCTCACAGTCACACGCCCCCTCATTCAATCTTGATAAAGATGAAGACACACACACACACGCACACACACACACACAAAAGAAGAAGCTTGGCGGGCTTGCTTCTTCAAACCGGGCCCTGCTGATAAAATATGCATACGGCTCCTCAGCAAATTACGGCCGATTGAATTTTCATAAGGCAAAAAAAAAAAAAAAAAAAAAAAGCTTGGGTCTTACAGAGCAAGAGAGCCTGGTGAACCTAACTACCGGCCTCTATAAATAAATACACACTCCTCTTTAAACACATGACTTTGATGGTTGCGTTCAGTCTCCGCTCAGCTCCCTGTCTTTTTTTCTTCTTCTGGATGAGTTTCCTCTTTCTGTTATGTTTATCCCAGACTGTCAGCTGACTGCGTTTATTCTGGATACTGTTTGGGGTTTTAATTAAAGACACTTCAACCTTGCTCTGTTTTTTTTTCTCGCTCTCTCTCTCTCTCTCTATGCATCTCTTTGCCTTCTTTTTCCTGTGCACTTTTCTTTCCATTTGGCCCTCTTATTTGGAAGTTAAAGCCGGCTCAGTTTCAGAGGGACAGGTTGAGTGCTGTGTGCTCTCTGTCCGCACATTGTATCTGCTATCTGCCCTCTCTTTCTGGCAGGACCATCTGCCTTCTGCTATCTGTGGGCAGAGACAGATTAAATGGCATGGGGTGGTCCCTACAGGATCCACTGTCTCCCCCCCCCCCCCCCGAAACTACCCCAAAAAGTGGCCTCTGGTTCAAGGTGGGGGTTGAAGAGATGATGGTGGGACTAACATGCAATGACCATGGAAGTTGATAGGATTTTCCGGCTGATTTTCTACCTCGCTGCGTGTACATTTGAATATATTAAGCAGTCTCCTGTCTTTTCTACACACACTTTATGTCTTTTTTTCTCCCCTGTTATCGCTGTCCCACTCCACCATAATACTTGTGTTTTAAAATGGCAAGAAAATTATTAGAAGTCAGGGAGTAAAGACAGACAGAGTGAGCAAGAAAACACACAGAAAACACAGGAGCACAGCCCTCAAACTTGCCAAAATGTGATGCAGTTAAGATAAAATGCAATCCTGAACAAATAAAAAGTGTCCTGCATTTATCTCAGCCTTTTTTAAACAACCTCTAGAGACCATGCAAACACACATGGACACAGACAAGTGATCCAAAGAAACAAGTTGCTGACTTCCTGCTGAAACATGAGACTCGGACTCACACAAACTCACGCACATGCTCTGCAAGGACAACAACATGCATGCATGCATCACCCCTTACCTTCTCTTCATGCACGCTCTACCACTCCTGCACAGGGAGTGAGGGATGGGATCAAGTGAGAGAGGGAGCGAGGATGGAGGAGGAGGAGGGGGAGGAGGAGGGGAGGAGGAGCGACAGCAGGTTGTTGTCGGGTGCTCCTCTGACTCCGTCTCCCGTGGGGTGCTGCTCACTCTCTGATACTTCAGGAGGTGTTTCTTTGAGGGCTCAGGTGTCCCTTCAGGGCTGTCCCAGCACCTCTGTGCTCTTCCTTCCCCCCAGGCGCTCTCCTCACTCTTCCTCTTTCTAAGTCCTTCACACGTGGAGGCTCGTCCTGCTAAAGACTGTGTGAATGTCATCCGGTCCCCTTCTTTTTCTCTTCTTGCCTTTCCCCTCTCCTTCTGTTCTTTTCTCTTGTTACCACTGTTTACCTCCTCCTCCTCCTCCTCCTCCGGTAGTGAACGGAGCTCACTTGCAATTCAAATGGGCTCATGTGTGTATATGTGTGTGTGTTTGTGTATCTGTATGTGCAATCTGAGAGTGAGGGAGCGAGTGGGTGAGTGTGAGGGGGCTGGTTGGTAAGGTCGCTGAATGGGGTGGTGATGAGAAGAGAGAGAAAGAGAGAAAGGGGGGAAACGAGAGCTGATGTAAAAGTTAAATACATTAACCATTGTGTGGCTGCTCTGATAACATCTGTATTAGCAGCGAGCGGCAGACAGCATGTTGGAGGTTACACTGTCTTTGTGCCCTTATCGCCTGTTCAATCAGGTGCTCAGTCTGCCTCTAAATGAACGTGTTTAAATGGAAGAGCAGCCCCTCAGACACATAATGGATTTATGCAAATATTTAGTGTGCTTTCTGGCTTTTAACAAATTACAAACTGTACCGTGTTATATAAAAAGGGAAAAAATTAGACTTTTTCATTTTAATAGAGCTCTTCAGTTTCTTTGGCAGCTGAACATTTAATTATTCCTTTCTATTTTTTTATTACATTCATAGAATTTACACATTTATTTTTTTGCTAAAATTTACAAAAAAATTAACAAAATTGTTATATCTTGATTGATAATATCTCGATTTCAAAAGTGATTTAAAAAAAATGTATCATGTGGCTCAGAGCTGTAATAGACCTATACTTTAAGATACAGGCTTTTACTTAGAGTTTCAAAATGTAACATGTACTAATTAAATGATGACAACACATCTTAATGAGATTTCTGTTGATTACGCGGTGTTTACAGGATTTAAATTCAGAATTAACTAATGTGAGGTTTATTCATGGTTGTTTTCTCTGTTAAGTTCTTTACGTTTTGGCTGGTTGGCTCATAAAATGTGAACTTTGCAGGTCCATGTCTGCTTTTGCTTGCTGTTTGGTTTGTTATCATATTCCTGCATGTTAAGAAATATGACTCTTGAATAGAACACATCTATTGTTTTTACAATCACATCCAAGTTAAAAAAGGAAAACTGAGTTAAAGATAACTGATTTTTATGTAAAATGTAGCAATTATCTTTATGTTTTATGGTCTCATTTAGCACCTTTTCTGCCCTTTCTTAAAGGGTTTAATTGGTTTTCTTTTCTGGCAAAAGATTTAGTAGTCAGAGAAAAAAAAAGACTGACACGGTAACTAATCAAAATAGGCGATGCTAAAAAAATATATATATATAGGCGATGCTTAGCTTAGCCTATCTTAGTACAACGACTTAAAACAAGTATAAACAGCAAACCATGCTAATACATTTAAATATATTCTCTTGTTTGTTTAAGATGAAAAAAATAAAGGTCACCAAAGTTCGAAATTGTAATTTTTTTTCTTTAATGAAGGTTTGTGGCAGGACTTAAACATTTCGGGCTAGTGTTCCCTCTGTTACTAGTCAGAGTGTTATCCTTGGCTAACAAGCTGTAGCTTTGTATTCACTGTATAGAACACTTCTCCTTTAACTACAAATCTCCTGTTCTCTCTCTCTGTTCTTCTCTCTCTCTCTCTCTCTCAAATCTCTGTTCTTAACTTCAGTCTTGTAGAAGTTGGGGAAATTGTCGATTAATGCTAGCATGATTAGTAGCTAGCTTGTACCCACTTGCTGCCTGGGGCTATGTTTTTTAGTGTGAATCCCTGTGTTTGTATAGCTGAAATTAAAAACCTTATCCCATCCATTCCATCCGTTATAATGAGGGCACCATACAATGAAATTGGAGGTCCACCGGAAAGAGGCCATATACAAAGTATGCATACAGGACGACCATATTGAACTCTTTATGTCCTCCACCTATAGGTCAAGTGTAGATCTCTAGAGGATTTGTGGGGGTGGGCATTCATATCAGTGGCTCTCCAACTCCACCCAGCTCTCTCATCTCCACACAATGGTGGGCCTCATGTACGCTGCTCTCTCTCCTGAGCTCTTTAATCAATATCATGAGGAAAACAGAAAGAGGCCCGCCACATTGTGTGCTAACTCCCCCTTTTCCCCTTCTGCCATGGGGCCTTTTCTCACTCATTCAGCAGGTACTTCAGTGTAGGACTATTGAGGTCGCTCTGAATGGGACCCACTCCACCCAGAGGGAATATTGTCTGACCGCAAGCTAAAATCTGAGAGACCCCCCTTTCTGTCTCCCCTTTCCTCCCTATATCTGGCTGCCTGTCTCAGCCCTGCTAAATCACTTCAAAGAATAATAAAAAATCTGGCATATGAGCGCTATTAATAAATGTATCACTTCAGTGGCCACAACTGGTCTTTTTTTATGAGTGAGGACCCTTTGGTGTGGCTGGACTCTCTTTCAAAGCCACCAGTCTTCTTCTCCCTCTCTCTACGTTCGCTGGCCCACTTTGCAGTCCTTAAGAAGTTCTGGAAGTCGGCAATCTGGCAGAGCATGATACGACGTCTGCTTTTTGAAGATTGGGTGGTGATTAACCTTTGAGAGATTACTGCACACATGCAACTTTGTGCAGGAAGATCTGCACCGGAACAACTGTTTTTTTCGAGGAGAACTTGGATTTGTGAATCCTAGTTTGTTTCAGTAAGACTTTTGATGGCATCTGTCGGACATGTGTCAGCCATGGAATTGATGCACGGGCCTTGTGCGACACACACTCACACACATCCTCTCTCTCTCTCTCTCTCTCTCTCTCTCTCTCTCTAGCTGTTTCATAGCCATCATGACTGGCCTGAATATTTCTTTTGATCCCACTGCATGCTCCTCTCCTCTTGTGTTGCCTGTCGTTTAATAATTTATCCACATACAGTACAGTCACCGGACAAACTCCACATGGTCTCAGCAAAGAAAGCAACAGAGTAAAAATTTCATTTGGCGTAATTGCATGAAAAGAAAGTGCAAAACTGGCCCTTTCATTTATTATTAATGGCTGCTTACAAGCCATGCATAATGCAAGGGGGGGCATCTTTATGACAGCCATGTATTAAATATCATGTCCTGCAGGTCGGGGGTCTCCGGGCTGCATGCTTTTACTGCCACAGTTAGTTGACTTTGGTGTGGAGTAATAGCTTTGATGCAGTGTGTTGTAAAAGAAAAGCGACAAAGAGGGATTGAAAGCAAGAGAGAGCAATGGAGAGAGAATGACAGAGAGAGAGATGGGATGAAATGGGGGGACATGAGGGACGGTGGGAGGGAGGGGAGGAGTGTGTGCTAGCTGACAACGGGTTAACAGGAATCTTTATTTTTAACAACATGTCATCAACAGCCGTCCATCTGCTCCTGTGCTGTCAGAGTCCCTTGGGAGCGTGTGTGTGTGTAAATGTATGAGAGAGAGAGAGAGAGAGAGAGAGAGAGAGAGAGAGAGAGAGGGAAGAAGAATAGAGGGAAAGCCATCACAGACCAGATCACTGATCAGCAAGGAGGAGAAGAAGAGGAGAGAGCAAGGTTAAGGCGATGGTTGGGTGGATGGGTGCACGTATCTCCCTCCTGTAATATCCAAAGCAGGTGTGACGGAGGAGGACAAGTAGAAGTTGAGGTGAACAGGCCATGTGTGTGTGACAGGAAGGTAGAGCAGGATTACGTGGATCAATCTACAACTCTGTTTGGACGGGGGGATGGAAGGAAGGTGGTGGTCCGGAGGTAATGAGAGGGAATCTATTAGCACAGACGAGGCAGGGTGAAGACACACAAAGAATAGAGGAGGAGGAGGAGGAGTTGTGTAGTCGATGTTGGACCTCCAGGGGTGGCCCCAACAGCTCATATGATTTAATTCTGTTGGATAAAGGGACTGGTCTCTGGGCAAGAAAGGGAGCAATTAAGGGGAGATGTTTGTTTGAGCCGGGACTTTGTATTTAGAGCTCTTTTGATCATGGAGGAGAGACAGGACCAACAGCTTGCCGTTGTGCAGGTAACTCTTCGTTAGCAAATACAGTTTCATGTGAGAACAGTACAATTGATCCCTATGCCTCTCATCTGTTTTACTTTTTCCCCCCCTAAGTTTGGCCTTGTTTTTCACTCCGCAGCCCTCCTGTGAACTCAATATTGTCAAAAGTTTTGACTGAAATTCCAACACATTGCAAACATCTTGTTGATTTGACAGGGCGCTTTGTTTTTGCACGACATGTAGCGCAAGTTGCCTCGGCCCCGGTGAAAATCTGCTTTTTATACTGAAATCTCTCTCCCCCTTTTTTCTGTATCTTATATCCAATGTCTTTCTTTCCCTCCCCATCCTTCAGGCAGGCTAAATTTGAAGGCTAATTAGTCCAGAGAAACCAGTCAAACCAAAAGATGCCACCCCAGGCCGAACACACTCATCCTCCTATTGATCTTATAGTAGCAACACAAGGAAACACACATCAATTCACACGCAAAAAAAAAAACAAGAGGCAAACAAACAAGAGTTTTTATAGCAGCGTTTATTATAGATGGTGCAAACATGCAAATAGGCAGCACGCTTGCATTCAAGTTCTTTGACCTTGACAGAGGTCATTTGTTCAAATGTTCTGCGTGATTCTCACAGAGTTGGATGAACATGGAAATGTTTGCAGCTTCCAAACCCCTTTCTCCTCTATTTCATCTTCTCCTCCCGCGTTCCCAGCCATCCCTTCCCCCCCTCACTCCCCGTTCTCAGTCTTTCTCTCATTTCTGATCCATTTTTTATGCATTACTCCATTACTCTCAACTCCCATTTACAGTGCATTACCTCCTTCCTCCCGTCGTCCACATACACACTTTATACTTCTCTCTCCTTACTTTCAGTCACTTTGCTCTCACTCTCCTCCAGTGCATCATGACACTTTACTCCTCTTCTTCCCCTTCACCCCCCATTATTATCTCTTTGTCTCTTCCCTGGTCACGTCATCCCATCCTAAGGGTTTAATTCCCACTTGTCTTTATTTCCCATCTCTTTTGTCATTCAAGTACACAATATGCAGTCATTCTCCCTTTTAATTGGTTGTTTAAAGCATGCCATGCAATCTGGCACTTAATGTCGCCAATGTCTCTGCACAAATGTACAAATGTCAGCTAATGTAATTAAAAACTACTTGCGGTCAGTATGTCCAGACATTTAATTGTGTCATTTAAGCATACACATGAGCGCACAGATGACCAGCGGGCTCTCTCATTTGATAACATAATAAATCACTATATAACAAGCTGCGATACAAAGGAAAACAGAATGAGAGTGAGGGCAGTGTGTAGAGATGCCTTCCTGTATCTTTTAATCAGATAACAACCTTCAGTGAGCTCTTTGCAAAGAAAAAAAAAAAAAGAAGGACCAGCAAGAGTCATGTCAGAGGTGGTTCTCTTTGACTGTAGGACACAGCTTACGGGAGCCCATTCTCATCGCTGTAAATAAAAACAAAAACGAATCATTGGGTTTGGAATGGTCTGGGCTGATACTAATATCATCTCGAAAAAGCGCTGATTTCATCTACAACTGTCGATGTTTAAAACGGCCCCACTAAGATTTAAGTCGCATATAAAACTGAAGCCAAACATGCAATCAAATCACTATTGTAAACTTCATGTAGACATAAGCATGCGGCCTCATCCATTGTATAAAATTCTTTAACATTGACAGGCATCACAGTTGACAGTAAATATCAAGTTGTGTAATTTCAAACAGCAAACTCGAGTATTTAAATGTAAGAGTTCATGAATTCAGATAGAAAATTGAAGGGCTCAATACCCCAATATTTTAAGTAATTCCTTCTTTCAAACAGAGGTTGTTCAAAGCTCAGTTTGGGTCAACAAATGAATTCATGTAAAAAAAAATCAGTTCTGTATAGGTCTGTTAAAATACCCCAATGATGCCATAAGGGTACATTTTCCTGGAGCTGATATGAGTCAGTATGTTTTGACCTCAGCTGCATCTTTTTTCAATCAATCTGATTTTAATCTACCTTTTAAGTCCATCAATTTTATGAATGTGTTAACTGCCCCTATAATGAATTAGGTAATTATCCTCCAGAGAGTTATTTGTCCGGTGTAGAAAGGTCGTAGTTTATTTTTTTTGAAATAAAACATAGAGCCAAATTATGCGTTTGATTACAGTTAAAGTGGCTTTTAATAATCTCCAATCTGCATTAACCTTCACCTGCAGATCAGGAATTATTGTAACATTAGGAAAAAAACATGTTACTTACACATAAAATTGAAGAACCAGGCCTCAGAGCGATCCACAAGACAGGCGGTCCACTCCCGCAGGGTCACCTTTCTGTTCTTGTTAAGGTCACATGACCTGCAAACAGCACATGGTAACAAATGGTGAAACACATGCACTCACTCACTTACCCTCACACTCCCATGCACTTGTTACGTGCATGCATGCTCAACCTTGCAAACATAGGACCATAGAGTAGATAAATGCATTGTATAGCGCAGGGAGAAGGTATAAAGATATATGGAAACAACTGCATTAGTGCGTTTTAGCTGCCACTGCCTTTCAGTTCACCCTGCAGTGTTATCTCTGAAGGGTACTCCTTCAATTTGTGTTAATCCATGGGCAGCGGGAGGCACAGTGGGTAATAAACATTATCATTGCTGGGAATGGCTTGACATTGACACAGCCAGCCCTTCTCCCACAAAACCTGTCACTGCAGACTGGCAGGGGAAAGGGGGGCTGGGTGGGGAAATGGATGTTAGCAAAAGGGGGGAAATGGATGAATGAAAGAATAAGACAAGAGTGAAAATGACGGAGGAATTGACAGAGAGCGAAGCAGAGGATAGGTCTATTTGTGGGTAAGAGGGAAGAAAAGTAGAAAGCACAGATGGGGAAAAGAGGTGCTTCAACATGGAGGAGGAGAAACATGATGGAGAGATGGTGTGGTCATGAGATCGGCGGGGAGGAGGACACAGGAAGTGGGTATTGGCATGGAGGGAGAATGGATAGATGGCGTGCAGAGAGAGCAGCATGGTGGGAGGTGCAGCTTGGTCACAGTGTGGAGGCAAGAAGAACCTCGGTGCGACATTTTTAACCCTTGGTGCTTCAGTAATTAGCTGAAAAATAACATATTGCGTGAGACAGAAGGTTCACATTATGAGCCCTATGTATGGCATAAGGTGGTGGCGATATGAACCTTGTGAGCAATACTGTCCCTGCCTTAGGGATTACTTGGTGTTTTGATTTCATTTGACTTTTTTTTTCTGTAGTCCGAGTTGTATTGACCAATAATGTTTCAGTGGGCTTTGGCTGCTGCTGCAGGAAAATAGCCCGTGTGGAGAGAAAAATAAGCGGAATGTATTGGTGGTAAGGCTTGGAATACAACAGTTCTCAAAAACCATCTGCTATCGTCTGACACCTTTGAGCTGTTTTCATGTGGCTACACATGAAAATATCTGGACATAGACGACGGTCAACTACGCCTCCATTCTTGCATCTCAAACTGCTTTTTGAACTTTAAACAACACATGAAGAATAAGTCCTGGACAAGCTCTCTATAATCCGTTAAAGCTCCTATGGGGAGTTCTTGGTTATAAAAAAGACTGAAATCAATACTGATGCCTCTATGTGACAAAAACAAAGGCTATTAGCGGCATAATTGATCATTTCTACAAAGTAACTGTAAATGCTTGTTTCCACTGTTGCTTTGTCAACGGAGTGAGTAACAGCATGCTGCAGAAACAGTCTCTGTTAACATTTTCATAGATTCATAGTCAATGATTAGTTTGACCCTCGAAAACGTAGGAAAAACGCTGGACATAAAATTATCCGTATCCTGCAGGGGGCTATTTCAACTTTAAAAGATAACCAACTGGTTCTGAGATTGACTTATGGTGAAACTTTACCTTTTCAATGTGTCATGAAGTTTGACTTTTTTTCCCCCTCCCATGTTTCTGGGTAGGCTACACATGAAGTACATGCAAAACTATAAACGAAAACTGTTAGTGTATGTGAATACTTTGATGGGTTGAGTTTCTGACTTAATTCAAATTGAAGTTAATCATAATATTATTTTCTGCTGCTTTCCTGTGGCCCAAATTCCTGGCACAGTGCTGCAGCATTAGCAGGTAGGGGTAGGACTCACCGAAAGAACTGCGTAGCACAATGCTCCAGAGGCATCCTCTTGTAACCCAGCTTCCTCAGGTCTCGGCGGCTCAACTTGCCGTCTTTGTTCTTGTCCAACAAAGTAAATCTTTGCTAACGAGAAAGAAGAGGAAAGATAGAGGCTGTGTTAAAATAGAGATACTTAATCAATTTTCACCTTTTTGAGAAGCATTTTCTTTACACATTGTTTGCCTTGTGACATGACCCTAACAATAGAAATGCTGATCTGTTGGTTGGTCCACCACAGCATTAAGTGCACAACCACTGTTGGATGAATCAACATGATTTTTGTAACATTTAAGGTCTTTGGAGGCTAAATCGCTTAATTTGACCTCTCCTTCTGCAATTTCTTGGCCTTTTATTGTTTTTTTTAGAGCTTTGACATTGCACAGTTGTATCTTATGTTTAGGGGTTGATTAGCAAATGTTACCATGCTTGCGTTTTCAACTGAGATGGATAACATAGTGTACATTACACCTGCACAACATCAAGGTGTTAGCATTTTTCCCTGCTATTGCTAACATTATTCAAAGATATAATCCTTCATGTGTTGTAGATATATGAAGTACCATGAGACGTGGTTTAACTTGAAACACTGTAGGATATGTTGTGTTTCTTAACACCAAAATAACACACGAGTTCCCTTTTAATTCATTTGAGGCCAGGAGGTGAAGGTGGCTGGCGGGAGCATATTAAGTTATCCCTCCATTCACTCTCTTATTGAATAATTCAGTGATTATTGACCAGTTCCTATTTATACGTGGTCTTCTTGAGAGAGACTCTGTCTCATTTTGTGGATGACCACACCACAAGCAACACAAGAACTTTCCACTTACAGTAGGTTGTTAATATCGATTTCTCTCTAGACCGTCCGTGCAGAGCAGTTCGTAAGCTAGCACAATGAAGGTGTCTGGTGTCAAAAACAACTTTTATGTGTTCAGCGTTAGGTTACGCTGGGAATGAAAGTGATCCTTTGATATGTTTTTTTTCCCCAGCTGTTTTCTTTATTTTGCACCACTTTTTCTTGTGGATATTGATTTCATTTGCATCATTATCAACTGATCTCATCCTAGATTAAATGTTAACTCTTACATCATTCTCTCCCCTGGTATGAAGTCTGTTTGTGTCTGTTGGTCTGCTACTTAGGCTCACTTGAAGCATGAAGTGTGTCCTACCTGTGCCAGTTGTGTCCTCTGGGCGTGACTGAGGCAGCTCTGGGACGGGGGAGCAGGTGCATACGACTCCCCCATACGACTCAGGAGCAGAAACCAGTCCAGGAGACGATATGGAAACTGGCTGAACTCCTCCTCAGTGCATTTAGCCCTGGGGACTGATCAAGAAGGATAACAGAGTATAAATTCACAGGCTGTGCTGCAGAGTATAATTTATATGTATTACTAATATGTAATGTGGTGTGTTTACCCAGACAGGGCCCAGTATGAGCCAGTCCAATTCGACGTCTCTTTCTGCAGGCTTCTTCATGCAGCAAACACTCGTTCCCATAGGTTTTTCCAAGAACACTGCACACTGGTGCCCTCTGCCTGATTGCAAAAGCCAGTGCCCATATGGAAATAGATATGTGAGGAAAGATCATACAATATGCGCAGCTGTAATCCATTAACTGCTTTACCTTACATGATTTCATCCAATAAAATACATCTTTTTATCATTAACAAATCAAAGATAACAATCAACTTTCAAAGGGAACATTTGTATAAATACCCTGGTCTAAAACAGTAAATTGTCAAAACTCAAATACTTGGTTAATGTGAGGTGTTTACCGTGAACAGGACTGTGGACAGACACACTTTGGGACGAGGACTCCATTTTCATGAACTACCTGGCACCAAGATCCCACTGGACTGTGACATTTTAGGAGCTCACAAAGCTTTTCTGAAACATGAAAAAACTGTTCTGAGGACTACTTATTCAGCTTTAAGTGCTAATTACAGATGTGAAATTACAGGGTGTAAACATCAAATGCAGTTTCTAATTCAGGACTATTCAAAATAATGCGATGCTATAGAGTAGTGGATATGAAAATGATATCTAGAAGAGAAGTAAAGCAAATAAATGATGTGAAAACTATGACTTTCAATCATAGAGCATAATGTGCATGTATGTGAGTCAAAATGGAAATATCTGCAAAATGTAAGAGAATTTAGATTTTTAACGATAACTTAGAAACTAATACTATCTCCAACAAGTTACATGTATAGTAGTAATAGTTACTACTTAAAATCCTAAATGAATGCCGTCCCTCCCCCCCCCAAAAAGAAAATGTCTCATCTTTCAAATGTACAGCTATCTTATGGTTGAAATTTGAACTGTCTCAGTCAGTGGTGACCTAATTCATTACCAGATATGCTAACAAGTGCAAATATGTTTTGCAGCCCTTGATGTGGAAAGTTTTCTAAGCTTCAGCATACATTTCTTTGTAAACTTGGAAATAGAACAAATACCTTCTAATTGAACATATTTTATAAGAGATATAGAACTGGCATGCATTCAAAAGAATAGCTTTCCTTCAATGTAAGTTTGAGTCTTACCTGGATCTACTCTGCCAATATACGGTCTCAGACTCTCCTCAGCTTGTCTCTGTTTGCGTTGGGCTCTGCCTCCCTAACAACATACACACACACACAAGCACACACACACACACACACACACACACACACAGATATATTTTTCTGAGTGTTGACTTGGCGGGGCTGAATTGAATAAGAATTATATGATCTTCTTTACATGTCATTCCAGAGGCATGCACTGAACTCAGGTGTGAACTTGTCTGTCATTTCAAACCTTTGGATCATTATAGTTCTACACATGATAGTAATCAGTGTGATGATGCATCACAGATGAAGAGCTTTATGAGCCTCTAATTTAAACATTCACAAATGTAAACTTATTGATGTCATTGTGCTGTATATGATCAGACAAAAGACCACAATGCAAATGCTATGTCTTTCCTATAACACCCAACTCCCTTTATACGCTCAAATTCCAAGTTTATGTTTTCAGAAACTTTGTAGTCAGCGCCAGATCCACATCTGCCCCCAATGACCTCCATGTTCAGATAGAAAACAGGTGCAACGCTGACCCAAAAAAACTGGAGCAACGCTTTCAAAGCTCAGGAATTATTGTTTAAAACTCCATATAAAATAATCGTGAGACTGTAACAGCAAACAGGTTAGGGAAGACATGAAGTGTTATACAAAATATACATGTGATATGTGTACAGTTGCAACACTATAGTTTTGGAAAATCTTTAGGTTATATACAAGTATTTGTACGAGTATTGGTGCCTGGATATTTTGTAGTTTTTATTCATATTCACTTTTACTGTATTATTTATGTTATAAATCACTGTGGATCAACTGTGTTATGTATAAAGTGAAATATATATATGAGTTATTTCTCTCTTGCATGCAAGTCTTAGGCTCAGTCAAATTCAGGTAAAAGCTAGACAAAAATTAAGACTCACCAGGCTACCCAAGTTGGAAGACTCAGAAGCAAAAACAGGTCAAAGATCAACCTCAGGTTCATGTTTGAAACATTCAAAGAGCTGTAAAAGGAAAAATCCAGCAAAGGAACATTTTGAAACATTTTAACCTAAAATATAAAGTGTAAATTTAAATACAACTTAAAGCTTAAAATTAACTTAAAATACAAAATATATAAAAAAGAGTAGATATAATATTAGATATAAGTGGACAGTGATCGACTAACGGATGTAAACAGATGTAAACAGATGTAAACAGAACCATATGCAGTCGTGAACAGATGTAAACAGATTGCAGCTATTTGCTGTATTGTTATACCTTTACTTACTTAAAGTTAAGCAAATCCTTAAGAATAAATCACTTTCAAGGGTCCGTTTACCCAGATCATGCTTGGGTAATAGATCAATTTCTTCTTCAATCAACTGCGGTGTCATTTACAGACCTTACTTCCAGTCATTCTAATAATGAAGCTGAAAACAATGCAGCTCATTGAGCTCTAAGAAAAGAATAATTCTCCATCACAGAGGAAACAGAGGGTTGAATTACACTGAGAGGACATTCAGTATCCAGTTGAGGAAGTTATTATAGTCTAACATTTTCTATCCCCATGGCTGCTCGGGGGAAAAAAAACACATCTTACCAGTGTCTCTGTCACTGCTTTCCTTTGGTGCTTATTCCCCTGTTAGAGTTCTCCGTCTTCTCCTTGTTCCAAGATACCTTTTTATCCCGTCTCACAGGCGCCTGTGAGGGAGTTCTTTTACAGTCAGCAGTCTTTACTTTATCTTTTTATTTGATCCATCCTTTTTTTACATTCTTCCCTTATCTCACCCCTCCTCTCTGCTCACCCCCTGTGTCTGTCTGTCTGTCTGTCTTTCCTTTAAACTTAGCTCCTTGTTGACTGTAGTTTAGTTAACAGGTACCTGAACTTCAAGACATTGCGCTGTTAAGTGTTGCTGAGATGATGAATATAGGGAAAAGTAGAGGAGGGATACTAAGGCACAGATATTAAAGGATCGAGGTGGGACAGCATGTGTTTTTGGGGAAGGGGATGGTTTTCATTGAAGTTGGCACCGGTTCACAGAAAGAATTATGAGCCTGAGGGAAACATATGGCCACACTTCTTCTCACTCTAACATTCATCTATCTCTCTCTGACTTTTTCCACATTCCAACAATTGTGTAACTTACACACATGCAAACACCAACACAGACATGTGAAATAAAATACATTTTTGTCGAAGAATGATGACTCCTAAAATATGAAACATTAAAACAACAGGGAAAGGCTGCCCTCTGGTGGTAATGATGTTCAATAGCAGTTCCACTGGTTCAGAGAGCTGACAGGTTAAATCACAAAATGCATTTCAGATCAAACAAATATTGGACAGTGTTTTTGTATTTTCTTCTTAAAAAAGGCCAAAAGGTTATGAACATTTGGTTTTAAATAAGGCTTTTTCGACTCACTCTTAAAATATTTAATGAAACTGTACTTTAAATATTTTCCCTGAGTAACCTCCTCTGGAGGTACTGAAGACACATTAAATTTTAAGGTAAGGAGGGAGAAAACAAAAAAGAAAACACATGAATAAGCAATGATGAAAATAAATGAATGGTGTGCTGTTGAGTTTGATCTCCGTTTATTGTTATTTCGGGTAACATAGGCAAGGATGGATTGCAGTGCAGAATGAGCATCTGCCCCAGGGCCCTGGGTCTTGACCCCTTAGGGTCCATGTAGGCAGTAAACAGTGAATATAAGATGATTTGTGTTAAACACATTTGTTTGGCAACATACAACCCAAGAATGAATACATCAGACAATAGAGGAGGCTAAATGCAGGTCTTGCATTCTTTTTACCTGCTTTGACCACTTGACTTGTAAAGCCCTAAGTCAAAATGTACATGACAGTAAAAAGAGGATGAACAGGGTCCTGTTTTTATGAGTGCCCCTGTGATGACCCATTCTTGGATAAAGGGACAGTTTAGGCATTTTTTAAAGGACTTTTTAAGAGGTTACCCAGACTTTAAAACAGGGAAGAATAAACACCGACTAAAGTGGCCATGCTTCTGAAAACTCAACTCAACAACATATTGGATTATTCTATGGCCTAGTTCCAACACTTGACAGAAATGATATGCTATCAACTGCTACAAATAGTAACACATTTCTGTTGGAGCTATGAACGCATTGCAGAAAGCACAACAAAAATAACATGAACTCAGTTTCCTCCATCGTTTTATGATCAGCACGGTCGCGTGCAGTCTGTACCACAGCACGCCCATCACCGTCTGACGTCACATCAAGGGCTAAGTGGGGAGGAGAGACGGGAGGATGTAGTTTTCAAGCGAGTTTGCTTTCGATGAAGGAAGCTACGACTTTGAACATGTAGGTACACTTCAAAAGTTTTTTTTTTTTTTCGAAATTTTGATACACTGTAAGAAGGAATGATATAATGTAGCGAAAACATTTAGGTAGGCGGCTATACAAGCACTTTGACATATGCATGCAGTGTCACCCTTTGAGACCCAGGTGACATCTGCTCGCTCCGCCCAGCTGGAAGCGGAGAGGACGATGTCGGAATGATAAACTGAAGTCAGTCTGTAACCGTGTGGCAGCCTGCTGTGGTTAGTTTATCTACAAGAATAGAAACTGCAGAATGTCAGCTTTTTTTTTTATATCGTTTAAATGTGTGACATTAGTTAACGTGAGGCCGCAGTGTTTTTTTTTCCTGTAGATAACGATGTGTGCATCAGCTGGTCGGTGTGAGATGACTCGGTGACAGAGTAATTAAATAACGGCTCTGTGATTCCTTCGGGACACTTTAATCATGTTATTTTTTACGTTAAAGTGAAATTACCAAAAAAAGTATGCGAGGGAATTCCCACCATTTCCATATGGGCTGTGTATTTCCAGTCAGCTCGCCGTAACTGTGCAGGACACAACATAGTTTGTTTCTTAAATATCAAGCGTTTTCAAGGCTGGACTTTTTTTTTAGCTTTGACTATAGCTCACACTGGCCTACATGAATGAATCTGATCGGTCAGCGCTGTTGGAGACTGTTTTGAACGGAAAGCGAAAGAGTAAGGCTACCTCAACTTGGCCGGCCACTTTACAACATGTTGTTTTTCACAAGACACCGAGCAAGTGGATTTTTCTGCTGACCCATCGTTGAAGCTGTGAAATGCTTTAAACGGCGTAATTCAGGTAAGAGAAGCTCATTCTGTCAGTCTGCTCAAGTCTTCATGATAGGCTACTTGGAATGAAAATGAAACTTAGCTTTACGTTGGGTTACATGTCCGCATTGTGTCATTGGTCATGTGTTTGTTTAGATGCATATTAAAAAAACAATGCAGAAAAACAGTCCAATAAGGGGTTTTATGAGCTTGCCAGTTTAGCCGAGTCCTTCTCGGTGATTTCCAGTGAAGCAGAAGAGGCCATGGTTTCTAGCGTCACAACATCACAGTCATAAGATGTACTGGAAAAAGTCAGTGGACCGTGACTTAGTCTTCATGTAATAAGTACTGTATAGCTTATAAGAAGTAACTTATTACAAATAGCCTGAAATAAAATATAAACAATGATCTTACGTAGAGAAATACATTGGATATGCAATGCTTGATAAATGTCTAGCCTTGTCATACAGTCTCTGTAGCCCATATGGCTACAAAGTTAATGCACATCACAGAACAGAAATGTGTCTTCCTCGTACACATGAGGATTGAATGGTAACTAGAAGACTCACATGCCCTGCTTATCTTAAGACATGTGAGCCATTTTAACCAGGGCTTTTATTCCATGCAGTGCTGTCTCACATATAACATATATAATTTATACCATGACTGAAGTTGCTGTCAGTCATGTCTCATAACTTTGTGTGCATGGTCAACCATTATAAGCTGTGATCTGTTACAGCCCACACAGTCAACAAGCCAGTATACATGAGGATAAGGCATGACTGACTACCCTTAGTGTAAGTGAGATGGACACTCCTCTGGTGCTACACTGTTTTGGGTGGGGTTACACACACACACACACACACACACACACACACACTCAAATGCAAATCAATGTGTGTGTTCCTCAGGCACCTGTTGGCATTGGTCCTGAGCCCCTTCCTGGCTGAGGGTGTGTTTACAATCTGACTCCCACCAACAGCAGCTGAACGTCTCAACCATGCGCCTGTCAAGACCCCCCAAATTGTGGTTCAATATATGAGGGTTTTTCCAGACTGTGTCTCTGCTGTCTGACTGTCCGTCTTTATTGGCGCTTGAGCATCAGTATGTGCTCTTTTTAATCTAGCTATGTGTGAAGATACACATTATGCACATTACCCTTGCATGGTAGTCATTCCTGGACACTAAAAGGCTCTGTAAGGGGAACCTTGAGGCCAGTAGATAAGACGCAAAAGATGCATTGTTTTTCTCTACTTTGTTTGCCCATACTCCACCCTACTTTCTAAGCTCAAAATCAACGAGGGATCAAATGTCTGAGCACTTAAAATGCCCAGAGATGAGGTCATTCTGGATGGGGCATTGTGGTTGTTTTCAGTTGGTGTTGTTGTGGAACCAAGTGACTCGATTGGACTGTGACTTTTCTCTGATCCTCCTTACCCTCTTCTCTCCCTGTATGTGGTCTATCATTAGAGCTATGATTAGCCATGCTTATCAGTTCTGTCATTGCCCTGGTAAGACCGCAGATGTTTAAGCGCTTGGAATAGCTCAGTGTGTAACAGCGTGTAGGTACAGTATCACTGGTGCCCTAACACAGTCAGAAGTCAAGCTGAACTTAGAGCAAAAGTCTGAGTTTAAAAATCATGAAATGCCCTTGGAATAAAAAGTACTTGGCCCTGTCGCGTAATGAGCAGTGTGAGGTATTGAATTGCTACAGCTTCCCTTATTTGTATGTGATCTGCGGCACACTCGAACTTGTTCTATTATTTGAACTTTAAACCTTTATGCAACCTACAACTTAAAAAAAACATTTTGTTCTGTTCAGCAGTGTCATATAGAATGGGTTGCGTGTTTTTTCAGTGTACGAGTCCCTTTGTCCTCCAAGTAGTGTGTTTACCCAGGTGTCATCATAAGCAAAATGTTGGGTGGCAGCAGCAGATGTGTGTCATTATTGGCTGGACGCTGGCATTTATTGTGAAGATACAATGGGCAGCTGCTAAAAGGTCTGAAACCTTTCATCTCAGCATGAAAAAAAAAAAGGCCTGCCTCAGAGAATATTGTAACTTGTCATAACAAGAATTAAAAAAAAAAACATAAACCTTGACAGTGAGCCTGCAGTATGGTACCAGGAACATGGAACTGAATCAGCTTAGTATAGTTTTCATCTACTATTTGTTTTATTGTTTATGACAGTGCTTTTCCCACTGTGTTTCGCCAAATTGTGTTCTCTAAAAATGAGCCTGTTGTTTCATTTCCCTAACGTAATAAATATGCTGGTTTGACAAAGCATAAACGTATGTTACAATAAATTAAATATAGGGGTTGTTTGATACATACAACTATTGAATCATGGTGCCAAGTAGCGATATTTCTAGTTAAAAAGAATACTGCCCTCTAAACAGACTTCCCTGCCAATTTGACTTCTGGTATCACCACTTCATGACTCCTCTCGGTGGTGCTTATGACATGAATGGGGTGAGCGTGAATAGAAGCTAGTTGCCCAAAGAAGTTGACATTGTGATAGAAGAATAAGAAAGCGGGGAAAATGTTGGACAGCAGTGAGAAGAAGTTAAGAGATGAAGCATGATAAGAGGGGAAACTGAAACCAAACAGCAGTAGATAGTAATCCTGCACTTTACCTTTTAGAGGGCATTTTATATTCTTCAGTTAATGAGATATTGTGATGTATTATCATAATATTGTCTTGCATTAATCAATTATTGTAGATTCCATGTATCCTGATATTATCCCTATAAAACAATTTTACACCCTGGTCTGCTGTATCTAGTTCCTTTGTGACTCCTTCGGTTCAGGTGATATAACTCCATTAAGCCTGCACTACACCAGTTCTCAGAGGTCATTCTCCTTAAAGCCTTCACGTCTAATTCAGTAATCCCTCCTGGCTGTGAGTCATGTGACATAATAGAGTCTATATGTTCTTCTTGGGCTCACACATTGGACAAGCATTTGCTGGAGACTTCAGGCTACCCTTTTAAGGGTGAACTTTTAGCACATTATAGTTGCTGAGTCATTTGCCTTCACCATATGTGCCCTGCTGGAATTGACATGCATCTGTTTAAAAAAAGTTTTTTTTTTCCTCAGCTGCAAAGGTTGACCTGCTGGGTTGCAAAGCGTTAGTGATATTTGACTCATTACCCATGTCCCTTCAAAAAGCAAATGACAGGCCATGTGATCACATGCATAGCCATGAAGTCGATATTCAAATACTGTGTTTGCATGGCAGGCCCAGTGCAATATCTAAAATCCCTTCCACACTTCTGTGTGTTCTTGTGCCTTTCTGAGCACACAACCACAGAGTATTGAGTCTCCTGAAGTCTCCTGATGTGAATGTTACTCTACTGTGTCAGATGCTCCTTTGGATAGGTTCCCATTTACTTTAATCAGTTGACTGAATAGCTCTAAACCCTGTGAAAAAGTGGGCACAAAGACATGGCACTTGATGGATGTTAACCCCCAACTGTTGCATTATTTGATGTGAGGACACTTTGTTCGCGCTATGATACTGTTTGCTGGTACAATAATGTGCTGCCTAATGTTATAGTAGTGATGCTGGAGAGTGTCTATTTTTTTTTTTTAAGAGAGACAGCTGGATAGAGTAGAAAGGAAGAAGGGACAGGAAAAGAGGGAAGTTTGGCAGAGGAAGTTGACCTAATGGAAGTGTATTGTCCATTCACAGAGGATAAAAACTGACCAGAAACATGATCTACTGTTGTTCTCATGACGGGCTTGTGTTTTGAACCAACTGACATTGGTTACATCGCAACAAATAACTTTTACACAGGAGCCCAGTAGCTTGATAAGCTGGTTTAGTTCAAGTGAACTCTCATGTGAGTGAAAAGAAAAGTCAGTTGACACAGAAAAACATTGTTGTTATTGGTACTGTAATGAAAAGCTCTGTTGAAGTGAGACTGTAGCTGAAATGGCCGTTGACTCTGAATGTGACCCTGACATTTCCATATATGCGCTGCATTGTAATTTGTTTAGTATTTTCCTGGAAATGGCCAACATTTTTATTACATATCACAAGGCAAATTATTTTTATTTATCATGAAAATAAACAATATTTCTATCAATTTTATTGATGAAAAACTTTGTGATGAATGATACAAGAGCAAAGCAAAAGTAGCCTATATTTGAATATTAATAATATGATCTAATATTAAGAATATTGAATAATATCATATAATATTAAATCAAATGACTTATTTCTATATGAAAAGGCTTCTAATCCCTCTAAAAAAACCAACACCCACTTTGGATTTCTTTGCAGCATTTAAACACTTTTAACCTACTTTTTTTCCTGACCTACAAACCAATAATTCTTTACATGAGATCTCATAAATCCAGATCATGAGCTCACACAAATCATTTAATGCTATCCGGTACAGCTTGAAACAGCTGAAAGCTGGAGAAAGGAATTACTGGTTTAAGAAAGTTGAAAAGGGAAAAGCCTAGACTCATGTTAAATGTGTAACACAGAAATGGAAAACAGTGACATGTTTCTGTGTACACCTGTGTCCGTCATCTCTGTAGACATATTTATTCTGTCATTTGTTTTGCACTGGCTAGCCCACAAAACAAAATCCCTGTGGCCTTTATGTTCTTTCGAGGTAAACATCGGGATGTATAAGCTTCTATGTTATGAAGACATGATTTCAAATGTGTCCCAGACCCCCTTGGCATGTTGTTTAAAGGGGCTATATGTAACTTTCAAAAATACTGCGTTTGTAGTGATACCTCATGGCCGTTTGGTGAACTGCAGCAGTAACCTGTTGCTCGCTCTCCCTCGCGTGCTCGTCATACGTGCTCGTACGTACACAAACGAGCGTCATCATCGGCCGCGAAACACTGGATGTTTACCGGCATAATGTTTACAGAGGAGGTAAGTGGTCATACACATGTGAAATTCTGTGAAGGAGTCTGTGTGTCTGTATTCATTCTACATCCTACAAACGTCTCGGCAGGCACTGGCTGAGAGCAGTTTGTGTGATGAGTTTGTCCGCCTTTGAGAGC